GAAAGAAAGAAAGAGAGGGAGAGAGAAAGAGAAAAAGGAAGGAAGGAAGGAAGGGAGGGAGGGAAAGAAGGGAAAGAAAGGAAGAAAGAGAGAGAAAAAAGGAGAGAGGGAAGGGGGAGGGAGGGAGGAAAGAAGGAAGGAAGGAAGGAAGGAAGAAAGGAATCTTAATATACATAATAATCTAAACATCTCAATTTGTTTTATGGAATCAAAAATTTATAGGGTTTTTTTTTTTTTGGTTACACAGAGTCTCTTAAAATCTTTTGAATAGCAGAGAGAGCCTTATTACATGTATAAATCAACTGCTTCTTGATTTAAGAAAACTGAAATCTCCCACTCACCCCCCCCCCCAAATTTTGGTATTTTTACAACAGGATTAGCAAACCCTGGAACAAACTGTACTAATTGCTTCTATGTTTTGTTATATTGACAAACTTCAATTCTGACTTCTATTCCTTAAATGTCAAGCAGTTTGATATTGCATTATAACAATAACGTTACCATAGAGTGTTTAAGTAAATAACATATAACACTTGTTGCCAATGGTGACATTAATAATTACTGGAATAGAATGAGGGCAGATTGTTGTGTAGTAATGACCCCTAGAATAGATTGAGTTGCTTGGCAGTGTTAAGAATTTGTCATGTTAGTGGTCATGGTGTTGCAATCCATTATCTCACTGAGAATTGATGACTTCAGCTATGGTTACTAGCCCTAATATTTAATGTAGTTGCCCTGAGCCACTTCAGTGCTTAAAAAAATTGTCTAAGGCATTATGTCAAGAGTTACCCAAGGAAACCTAGGATCTCCATGTATATATTTTAGGGAATCAAGTATGTTTTACTTTTTTATATAGTTCCTCTGGTTCCTCTCTATAAATATTAGTGACATTTACACACTGGAAATGAATATTTGTCTGTCAGTCAGTCTATCTATCTACCTATTTACCTATCCATCTATATCTTACCATGTTCAACAAAGTCTCTTTCCTTCAACCCAACCTCCCTGCCCTCCCTCCCTTCCTCCCTTCCTCCCTCCCATCCTTCCTTCCGTTTTCCCTCCCTCCCTCCCTTCTTTCCTCCCTTTCTTCTTCCCTCCCTCCCTCCCTTCCTTTCTTCTATTAATTCCTTATTTATTAATTCCATAATGTTTACTAACTAGCTACTAAGTTCCAGGCACTAGGAATAAGCAATAATCAAAGAGGCCAGGTCCCTACTGTCTTGGAGCTTAGCTTCTGGCTAGGAAACAACGAAAACAAACAGTTCCTTTTAGATGGTGTTAAGTGCTCTAAGACAACAAAGCAGGGAGATGTGATAGACTGTGGGGTGGGGCTATTTTAGGCAGGAAAATCAAGGCAGGCTTCTCTGAGGAGGTGGTGAGTGAGCTGAGATCTCAATGATGAGAAAGAACCAGGCTTGAGGAGCCACGGGGGCAGAGCCTTACAGAGAGAGGAAACAGCACGTGTAAAATATTTGAAGCAGTTTAAAATAATAATACAACAAAAACATACAAAAAGTAGGAATGAGGGGAAATGAAAGAGAACAAGAGAAAGCTGTGATGCAGATATGAAAACCGTAGTTTGACAAATTTATTAAAATTGAGTTGCAAATTTGGGAACTATCTTCCTGGAAGCCAAAGTAAAAGGGAAATGTGATCAATTTCATGGTCTGCTTTCTTTTATAAAGAAAAGTCATGTCCACTTCTCTAGGAAAAAAAATTCTTCTCCGGCACTCAGGATTGAAATATATTTCTTGCATGGACCCTCCTATACGGGGCATATAAGTCATTGTATTAGCGTGATAGGCCCCTCCTCCCACAGATGTCCAAATATGAATTCCTGGAACCTGTGAATATGTTATATGAAAAGGGCACTTTACAGCTGTGATTAAGTTAAGGACCCTAAAATGGGGAGGTTATCCTGGATTTGTTTTGGTGGGTCTAATCTAATTGTATAGATCCTTAAAAGCCAAGAGCCTTTCCCAGCTAGGATCAGAGGAAGACATGACCTCAGAAGCATGGTTAGGAAGATGCAGTGTTGTTGGCTTTGAAGAGGAAGGAAAAGGGCCACTAACCAAGGAATGTGGTAGCCTCTAGAAGCTGGAAAGGCCAAGAAACTGATTCTCTCCTAGAGCCTCCAGAAAGGAACACATCCCTGCTAACACTGACTATAGCCCAGTGAAACCTATGTTGGATTTCTGACCTATAGAATTTCAAGAGAAGGTATTTTTATTAAGTCACCAAATTTTGATAAATTGTTACTATATAAAACCAATATAGTTAGATTGACTTTTGTTGCAATAACAGAAATTCCCCCACCTGAACTACTAGCTAAGCAAAAGAGTGGACTTTATTATAAAGAATTGGAAATACTACATGGAATTCAAAGGCAGGAACAATTCATATCAGAAAATACCATGACAATGAATAGAAAGCTGTCAGAACTCTTTTGGTCTCTTCTCTCTGTATATCTTTTTCATCCTTCCTGTTCTTTTCCCATTTTCCCTGCAGCCTGGCTTTCTGCATTTCTTCTGGCCACATGGTGGGAAAGCATGTCTGGTGACAACTTCTGATTTTCTTTCTCTCTTTTTTTTTTGAGACGGAGTTTTGCTCTTGTTGCCCAGGCTGGAGTGCAATGGCATGATCTCAGCTCACTGCAATCTCTGCCTCCCAGGTTCAAGTGATTCTCCTGCCTCAGCCTCCCAAGTAGCTGGGACTACAGGCATGTGCTACCACACCCAACTAATTTTGTATTTTTAGTAGAGATGGGGTTTCTCCTTATTGGTCAGTCTGGTCTTGAACTCCTGACCTCAGGAGATCTGCCTGCCTCAGCTTCCCAAAGTGTTAGGATTACAGGCATGAGCCGCTATGCCTGGCCCCTGATTTTCTATTTTAAAGATGTTCTGTGTTTCCACATTAGCTACCTAGAGAAAGATCGAAATCTCTCAGTCCTGTTCATGACCTTTGCAGGGACATGGATGAAGCTGGAAACCATCATTCTCAGCAAACTAACACAAGAACAGAAAACCAAACACTGAATGCTCTCACTCATAAGTGGGAGTTGAACAATGAGAACATATAGACACAGGGAGGGGAACATCACCCCCCAGGGCCTGGCAGGGGGGGGGGGGGGGCTAGGGGAGGGACAGCATTGGGAGAAACACCTAATATATATGACAGGCTGATGGGTGCAGCAAACCACCATGGCACGTGTATACCTATGTAACAAACCTGCATGATCTGCACCTGTACCCCAGAACTTAAAGTATAATAATAATAGTAAAAGAAATTTAAATCTAAAAAAAAAAGAAATCTCTCAGTCCTAATTTCAAATTCCTGGGAGAGGGATATGATTGGCATATCTTGAGTCAGATCCCTACTATTGGAACAATCAGCTGTAGCCAGGTGGACTGGTTACCTTGTCTGAGGATCCAGGGCTAGTTTCCTGAAAAAGACATCTGGTTATACTGCTGTTTTTAAACTGCAACTTGCATTGGTCAAGAAACCATTAGTGGGTAGAAACCAGCCTTAAAAAGATATTAAAAGTATCAGGGTGCATCGCATGAGATGTGGGTATTGTTTTATAAAACTTGTTTCAGTTAAAAAATATATGAGTACATGTGTATTGAGTGATAATATAAACATATTTATTTTGGTGGATTGTGCTTAAAAAAGTTTGAAAAGCTCTGGGCTGGACAAGCTGGTAGGATTCTGCTACAGAGATGTAATAAACAGCATTCTTAAAGTAATCCCTCTAGTAAATGCAGAGGTATCATGAATATTTTTCAAACAGCATCTCTTAATATAAGCAAATGGCATAGTGCTGAACATGCCTTGGTATAGGCAATGTTGCAAGGGGACGACACAATGGTACAAGCATACAGTTTTTTGATGGTCTGGTTTAACGCAGGGCAAAATGTAGTCCCGTGGTTGTTTTTGTTTTGTTTTTAGAGTCAGGGTTGGCTGTGTTGCCCAGGCTGGAACCTGTGAATATGTTACATTATATGCAACGGGCACTTTACAGATGAGATTAAGTTAAGGACCTTAAGATGGGGAGATTCTCCAGGAGATCTTTTTATCTCCTGCAGCCTGGTGCCTAGTAGGACTTCATTATATAGTAGATTTCTTGTCGCCCTTTACTGGCCAGGGAGGTTTTAGTTTTGTAGAGATGGGGAATCTCCTGATGTTGCCCAGGCTGGTCCTGAACGTCTGGGTTCGAAGAATCCTCTTGCCTTGGCCTCCCAAAGTGCTGAGATTATCGGTGTGAGCCACTGCGCCCGGCCTAGTCCAGTGGTTTTAAGTTACCAGTCACCCATTATGACCATTTTGAGTTTTTTGATGAACAGGACTGGATGAACTAGTTGTCAAATGTACCTCCCCCTAAGCAATACAATGAATCCACCTGCCTATCAACTTACTGGCTACCAATCAGTCGAATTTTAGAGAATATCTGCCTTAAATAATTAGGCTAGCATTAAGAGAGTTGAATTTCTTCCCCACAGCTGCTAGAGAGTAGGACCCAGGACCACAGAAGCCATTCCTAGTTCAGGCCAATAAATCCATTAGCATACAGCTGGACCCTCTGTTGCCGGGGACAAGCATTCAGATGGTTCCCCATAGGTTTGTAGCTAAAATATATCCGTGAGAATCGTCATTTGATCTGTCAGGAGTCTTCTCAGCCCCTGTGTGGGGACAAACACCCCTCCCCCCAGCATTTCCCCGTCTTTTTAGGCTAACTTCTCCCCCCCCCCGCCCCCCCGCCCGCACTGCAGGCTTGCAGCTCTAGCTCCAACTGGCTGGGGGCTGAGGGCTTGACCCGGAGTAAGAAGAGTGGCCTGGGCATCAATCACCTTAGTACCGTGATATTCCTGCTACAAAGCTGTATTTTACGTACAAGTGGCTGCTCCTCTGTGCCCCAGACGGGATTTTAGGTCCGCCCCTAAGGGAAGCCGCCCGCGGACGCGCCTGAGGCTGCACCCGGGGCACGTGGGCGCCGTTGTGCAGCCGGCACCTCCGGGCCAGCCCCGCAGCTGGGAAAAGGGGCTTTGCACCCGCCGGCGCTCTTTGTCCCCGCGCGGCCCCCGTCCACGCCCTGCGGCTGCTCTGCGGGCCGAAAAGTTTCTCCAGGTGCAGAATTCCGGGCTCGGCTACAACTTGCGCGAAGTGTGCGCACCTGTCGGAGGCCCGCCAGCCCGCCCGGGCCGCGGTGAGTGGTCCCTGGAGTCGCCGCTCAGGGCGGGCCCGCGGGAGGGGGAGGACGGCCTGGGGCGCAGCCGGACCTGGGCGTTGCTATGGCAACGCGGTGGGCAAACGGGCCTCTGGGCCTCCCGCTGCCGGTCGGCTGGCGGCCCCCCAGCGGAGGGACCGGGCCGAGCCCGCGGACTCTTCCGAGTGTCTCCCGGGGCCCAGCCGTTGGGATCCCATTCACCCCCCACCCCGGGCCCGGTATTTAGGGTGGTCTCTGTCTGCCCGGGTTCATCTCCACAGTCTCCCACCTCCACCCCATCTTGGGACTTGAACCTTTTTGAAAGTTTAAAGCGACCTTACTGTAGGGTAAGTGTGTGAGAAACATCCTTAAAGTTCTGAAGCTGAGTTTCTTTTTTCTCCTAGAGCCTGGTACCTAGTAGGACTTCATTATGTGGTAGGTTTCTTGTTGCCCTTAAGACAGTCTCTTGCACCCAGATGATGCACATAGGAGGTGTTAGGTTGACGTAAAGCAGCCCCGTACTGGCTCTGTGGACAAGTAATTTAAGTACTCTCCCTCAGTTTCCTAAATGTAGATGGTCATGTCTCACAAGGTCGTGGGTTTCAGTGAACCTGTATGTGAAGCTGTTTTGTGAACAGTACATGTAAAAAGCTTAGTGGTAAGGGATATTTGCAAGCTAAAAGTGGTCTAGTGCTCCCGTCCCACATCACCGGCTAAGGAGGACCTTCTTTTTTGTCTGACCACCAAATATCTCCAATATGCAACCAGAAAATAGGATGGTCCTGCCTTGGAGGAGGGTTCTGTGAATGGAAAGGAACATCAACAAGTTTTGAACCTAAACTCTCTCCTTGTTTTCCAGGCCCGTGCCTTTAGAGTGTGATGGATATGCAGATATATCACACTTTTAAATTTTTAGCTCATGTAAATATGTTGTTATCTCAATGAGTCATACCAACCTCTATCTAGTTTGCAAATCAGAAATCTTGGCCTCATTCTTGACACCTCACACTTTCTTCCTTTCCATATCCAAACAATTATGAAGTTCTATTCATTTTATCTTCATACCAAATCTCAAATCCATCTGAGTATCTCTGTCTCTGCGCTATCACCCTAGACCAATCTACCAGTATCTGTTGTCCAGTAGTAGCCTCCTAACTAGCCTAACGGTATTAACCCTTTCCTTCTAATATTCCCATCCATTCTTGCCCTGCAGCAGGAGTACTGCTTTAACAATTAAAATTGATTATGCTACCCACCCACCTCCTCTAGCTTAAAATCCATCATGGTTTCTCATTATTCTTAGGATAAAGACCGAACTCTTAATGTGGCCTAAAAGTTGGGTGACTGACCCCCCAGTCCAAGATATTTTTGAAGGTAAAAGAAACTACCAGCCTGACCCACATGGTGAAATCCCGCCTCTATTGAAAATACAAAAATTAGCCAGGAGCGGTGGCATGTGCCTGTAATCCCAGCTACTCAGGAGGCTGAGGCAGCAGAACCGCTTGAACCTGGAAGGTGGAGGTTGCAGTGAGCCAAGATTACGCCACTGCACTCCAGTCTGGGCAAGAGTGAGACTCTGCCTCAAAAAAAAAAAAAAAAAAGTTATTATTTATACTAGGACAAAAGATCTAACCTGGGGCTCTGTCAGGCAAACTGAGGCAAATGGTTATTCTACATTGGCTTTGTTTTTTAAGATGGAGTTTCGATCTTGTTGCCCAGGCTGGAGTGCAGAGGTGCAGTCTCTGCTCACTGCAACCTCCGCCTCCCAGGTTCAAGCGATTCTCCTGCCTCAGCCTCCTGAGTAGCTGGGATTACAGGCACCTACCACTACACCTGGCTAATTTTTGTGCTTTTAGTACAGACAGTGGTTTTTCCATGTTGGCCAGGCTGGTCTTGAATTGCAGACCTCAGGTGATCCACCTGCTTCGGCCTCCCAAAGTGCTGGGATTACAGGAATGAGCCACCACGCCTGGCCGACATTGGATTCTTCTCAGACCTGTGTGCCATTTTCCCTCCTACTACAGGGCTGTTACATATGATAGTCTCCCTGCCAGATGTGCTCTTTCCTCTTTTCTTTTTTTTGAGACGGAGTTTCGCTCTTATTACCCAGGCTGGAGTGCAATGGCGCGATCTCGGCTCACCGCAACCTCCGTCCCCTGGGTTCAGGCAATTCTCCTGCCTCAGCCCCCTGAGTCGCTGGGATTACAGGCACGCGCCACCATGCCCAGCTAATTTTTTTCTGTATTTTTAGTAGAGACGGGGTTTCACCCTGTTGACCAGGATGGTCTCGATCTCCTGACCTCGTGATCCACCCGCCTTGGCCTCCCAAAGTGCTGGGATTACAGGCTTGAGCCACCGCGCCTGGCCTCCTCTTTTCTTTAGCTAACTCTTGTTCACATCTAGGGTCAAATATTTCCTCAGGAAATCTGCTTCTGACTGTCTAGGACAAACCTGCTTAACATAGGTTCTTCTGATGCCAATGATTTCACCTTAGTAGCACTTACCACAATTGCAATTTAAAATTTGTCTGTGTAAATACTTGAATGATAAGCATTTTCCTGTGTCATTAAACAGGCTCTGAAAAGATCACATGGTGGTTTGGAGCACAGGTGGGTGGCTTAGAATTGGCACAGCTCTGTCACAGTTCTTTATCTGAAAACTTATGATGCTAGTTGTGTTTTAAAATTCAGAATTTTCACTTTATGGAAAGATGCCGTGGTATAGACACTGCATCACGTCTGGTGGGGTCTGGGCAGAACTTTGTAATCAAACACATGAACTTTTCTTTAATAAAATGAATTTTCTCTAAGTAGGATAAGGATAACACATGATTTCATTGTCAGTTTAAGTCAAGTTTTGCAAATGAGTTTGCCACAAGGTTATGAAAACACTGACTCTTGTTGGAGGCTGAAGTGCGAGGATCACTTGAAGCTAAGAATTTGAGACCAGCTTGGGCAACATAATAAGACCCATCTCTACAAAATGTTTTAAAAATTAGCCGGGCGTGGTGGTATGCACCTGTGGTCCCAGCTACTTAGAAGGCTGAGGTGGGAGGATCTCTTGAGCCCCAAAGCAAATCCCAGACTGCAGGGAACTGTGATTGTGCCACTGCAGTCCCATCTGGGTGACCTTGTTTCTGAAAAAAAGAAAAACACTTGATTTTCTGAGATTTCTGGGTTTTAGAATTTCAGATGAGGATATGTGATTCTGCTTTAGTGTAACCTTGAGCCAATCACTTAACTTCTCTGGCCTCAGATTCCTCAACTGTAAAATGGACATGATATGAGCACCTGCCTGTGTCACAGGCTCCATGTCATGCTGTTTTGAGAAGTAAATGAGTTAGTGCGAGTTAACTGTATAGAACAGGGAATGGTCCTTCGTCGGTACTATACAAGGGTCAGTTTTCATGTCATTTCTATTAATTCCATAATCACACCATGGATGAAACTTAATTTACTTGCAATTTACTTATTGTTGAGTATTTAGACCTCAGGTACAAAATTTAGTAATGAATGTCTTTACACTTAAATCTTTTCACTACATTTTTTTTGATTACTTAAGATCAGTTCCTGGGCTGAGTGTAGGAGTCCATGCATGTAAAACCAGTAGTTTTGGAGGCCAAGGTGGGAGGATCACTTGAGGCCAGGAGCTTGAGACCAGTATGGACAACATAGCAAAACCCTGTGTCTACAAAAAAATAAAAAAATTAGCCAGGTGTAGTGGCATGCACCTGTAGCCAGCCCCTAATGCTCAGGAGGCTGAGGTGGGAGGATCTCTTTGACCCAGGAGTTAAAGGCTGCAGTGAACTTGCCACTGCACTCCAGCCTGGGAAATGGAGGGAGACCCTATCTCAAAATTAAAAGAAAAAAGGGATCACTTCCCAAAAATGATATTATTGGGAGGTCAAAGGGCAGGAAGGTTGCGAAGCTGTGAAAACATATTGAAACATTGTCATACTGTTTTCCAGAAAGATTTGCCAATTTACATTGTCACCATCAGTTTTATGACACCCATATTATCATTATTATTTTAAAAACTTTGCTAATTTCACAGATAAAATAGCACCTCCTAATTTTGACCCACATCTATCATTATTAATATGTTTTAAGTGTTAAGAAATCTTATTGTTAGCTATTAGCTATTTCTTTTTTGTGAGTTGCCTGCATAAGCTCTTTGATGGTTTTTGTATTGGAGTCTTAGTTTTTTTTGTTTTTGTTTTTGTTTTTTTAGCAGTTGTTTAATTGTTTGATTTTTATCTTCCCCAGCCCAGGCAGGAGCCACTCTGCTTGGCTTTGGCTGGAATTAGTTGGATAAGGTATCCCTGGAGCCTGGGACGAGTTGTTACTTGCCTGCAGGCTATAGTGCAAGGTAGAAAACTGTTTCAGAGGCTGTTTCTTGGGGAAAATCTGGACTCAAGACTGGGCTAATTGCCTGTTTATGTGAACTTAAGTCAAACAGGGCTTGGAAGAAAGAGAGCATCCAGGTAGGAGGCAAAGACCAAGACAGACAAGGAAAGGCAGAGTAATTTTCAAAGCTGCAGGAGAGAAGCTGCAACCTCTTTTTTTTTTTTTTTTTTAAATGTAGACACATTGCAGTTTCCTGTATAGAGGATGAGGGAATACTGGGGGCACTGTTTTGGCCACACACTGAACCATATGAAGGTATTAACCCTTCTTCATGTGGGGCATTTTCCTCACAGTTGCCCTTTAATTTATGATGGCTTATGATTTATGGAAATTAAAACAATTTTGTTGTCTGTCTGTTAATCTTTTCCTTTATGTTCCATCACTTTTATGCTTAGAAAGTTCTTCCCATGTAGAGACCGGCTATCTAGCTGTATTTTCTTTAAAAATGTTATTTTGTAATGTCAGCAAATCAAGAGGTAAAGAAAGTAAGTACAAGAAGCTGAGTAGTGTGATGTCTAATAAAAAACCTGAAAGAGGATGATACAAAGGTGGGTACTCGTGTCTTCATGTGTCCTTGAAGCAAGGAGAAGAGCT